AACTGTCCCTAACTCCAGTTCCAGGGGATCTGACACTCTCTTCTGGCCTCTGTGGACATTGCACACACATGGTAGGTACACTTACATACATACAAGTAAAATGCTCATACACATAAATAAAATATTTTTCATTTCTAGCTCTTTGCATCCTGCAATGATCTGTTGACTGGTCCCTTGCTTTCCTGGCATTCTGCTGCATCCACAGTAGTACCGGCCATCTCCAACAGCAAAAGCCAGATGCCAGCTAGCCTGAGGCTCATCTGAGCTGGAAACCAAGAGGGTATGGGGTAAGTGGAAGGTAGGAAGCCACCTTTCCCAGTCTAACCCTGTAGGTACATAAGCATCCTGAGCCTCTGTGAGTCTCAATATTTCCTTATGAGACGTGAGGTAGAATCAAAAGAACTCTAGTATGTGCCTGACTCAGAAAATAGGTCATAGAGGTGACAGAGCAGCTTCCCCCAAAGTAGTAGTTTTTATGAGAACTTATTAAGGTTGGGCTGGGGGTGTTGTCCATTGGTAAAACATATGCTTCCCATGTGTCTGACCCTGGGTTCAACCTTAGCACCAAATAGCCACAACCAAAACAGTATACTGAGAATATTTCTTTATCACTATTGTTAAGATTTATTGGATTTGTGTGTGTGTGTGTGTGTGTGTGTGTGTGTGTGTGTGTGTACAATTGAGTGCAGTACCCTTTGAGGCCAGAAGAAGGCATCAGATTACCTAGAGCTGTAGTTACAGGCTTTTGTAAGCAGCCTGATATAGGTGCTGGAGAGTGAATCCAGGTCCTCTGCAAGAACACCAGGTGCTCTTAGCTGTTGAGCCAGCCATCTCTTCAGCCCTGTTTATGACTGTTGTTAAAATCATGACTTTTGAAAAGATGTCAGAGGACCGAGGGACAAAGGCAAGGGCACTTGCTATGCAGCCATCCCCAGCACCACTCAAGCAGAGCTGTCTTTGCCTTTGCCTGCCTGTGGTCGATCCTGGGAAGGTCCTCCTTAGTGTTGTCTCCCAGTGTTATCACCACTTTACAGACCAGGAAAAGGAGCAGCACCTCCTAGAAACAAAGTGACTTGTTCCAACTCATCTGCTTTGAAATGCCTGAACCACAATCTGCGCTCGGATCTCATCAGTTCTAGCACGTGTGGCCTTGGCCACTAAGGACACTGCCTCCTCTAAGGGACTGGGGATTATGTTCAGTGGTAGAGTGATTGCCTAGCATGTGTAAGGCCCTAGGTTTGATCCCCAGCACAAATAACATTAGCCTTTAAGATTTCCCTAAAATAGGGAGTAGACATACTTAAAAACCTAAATGTTTCTACCCTTTCTCCTCACCAAGCTGAGGCAGATGGGAAGAACTATTTGCTCCCTGAGCCTAGAGAGGTGGGGTGACTAAAGGCTCAGACACTATACACTAGTCTGGGGGAAACCTGAGAGTTACCGGACAGGGTTGAAGAGATACAAGGACATCAAGAACTGCCACAGTTTCAACATGATCATTGTGAATGATGGGGGTGGGGAGGCAGAGGAGAACCTTGAAAGGACTGCAATTTGCTATGAGCTTTTAAGGAAGGGCAGGGTTTATAAGCAAAACAGAGCCAGCATATCCCTGGCAGAGGGCACTAAAAGAGCAGAAAGGGCCTGGGACTGGAGAAGTTTGAAGACCATACTGACCTGATCCAATAAGACAAAGGATGTGAGGCAAGCCCAGGTAAGAATATGGAGTAAGACCAAAGGTGCCCCCCACCACCAGTTATTATTAAATTTCTTATTTGTCTGTGTGCCCTTGCCATAGTGCATGTGTGAGGGTCAGAGGACAATGTTTGAAGTTGGTTCTTTCTAACATGAGTTGCAGAGATTGAAGTCAGATTAAGGTTTGGTGGCAAGCACCTCTACCTGCTAAACCATCTTGCCAGCCCAGGTTTTAAAAGGCAGACAGTGGACTCTGGCAAAAGGAGCTATTGCAGGTTCTAGAGACATGACCCAATGAGTGGGAAACAGAAATAAGAGTGGCCAGCAAAATAGCTCAGTGAGTAAAGGAGGTTGTGACAACCCTAATAACCTGAGTTGGATCTCCAAGACCCACACAGTAGAAGGAGAGAACTAACTGGAGAAAATTGTTCTGTCTTCCACACGTGCACACACACACACACACACACACACACACACACACACTTTTAAAACATAATTTAAAAAAATTTTAAAGGGTCAGCTGGAGATATGGCTTGGCAGGTACAGACATCTGTTGCCTATCCTGAAAACCTGAGTTCAATCCCTGATAACCACATGAGTGAAAGAGAGAACTGATGCCCTGAAATTGTCCTCTGATCTCCACATGCATATTGTGGCATGCTTGTACAAATGTATATATACAGACACACACACACACATAGACAGAGACACACACACATAAAAATGCCATACAAGCCAGGCTGGGTGGCGCACGCCTTTGATCCCAGCACTTGGGAGGCAGAGGCAGGCAGATCTCTGTGAGTTTAAGGCCAGCCTGGTCTACATAGTGAGTTCCAGGTCAGCTGAGGCTACAGGGGGACCCTGTCCCAAAAAAAAAAAAAAAACCCCAACACTTGGGGGGGAGGGGGGGGGGGGTCTCTGTATTCAAAGCCAGCCTGATCTACATAGTGAGTTCCAGGTCAGCTGAGGCTACAGGGGGACCCTGTCCCAAAAAAAAAAAAAAAACCCCAACACTTGGGGGGGAGGGGGGGGGGGGTCTCTGTATTCAAAGCCAGCCTGATCTACATAGTGAGTTCCAGGTCAGCTGAGGCTACAGGGGGACCCTGTCCCAAAAAAAAAAAAAAAACCCCAACACTTGGGGGGGAGGGGGGGGGGGGTCTCTGTATTCAAAGCCAGCCTGATCTACATAGTGAGTTCCAGGTCAGCTGAGGCTACAGGGAGACCCTGTCTCAAAAAAAAAAAAAAAAGCCATACATTACTTTTAGGCACAGCTGTAAATGTGGGGTGCCCACTCTTCTTAAATAAACCACTACCCTATGCTCTGTTAAAAAAATTTTTAATGCCAATATATTGTTTTTAAGATATTGAAAAGAGAATCCTATACAACTGGAAATAATGCCAATTTTACAGACCAAATAGAACAATTTCTGAAGCATTTTCCTAGATTTTTTTTTTTACATTATTTATTGTGTGTGTGTCATGTCATGCCCCCCGCCCCGACTCTTTCCATAATGTAGCTCCTGGGATTTGAACTCAGGTCATCAGGCTTAGCTTCAAATCCTTTAACTTGCTGAGCCATTTTGCTGGCCCCTAAGTTGGGTTTTACCTATATGTCTTCATAAGCTTTGTTAGCATTTAGGCGTAGCAACCAGAACTTGCCTTCATCTTCTCTAAGAAACTCTATACTTGGGGCAAAGCTCCCTGCCACATCTTAGAGTCTGAGCTAGCTTGAGCCTCAGCAAATTTCCTCCCCTTTTTAGGAACAGAGTTCCAACCAAGCCCCTTTCTGCTTGCATTGGGGTTGCTTTCAGGACTCCCAAGGATAAGGAGAGCCTGGTTTCAGAAGTCATCTCAGTCACACTGGTTCTGAGGAACCAAGCTTTCTTCCTGCCTCAGTCTGACCAGTTCCAAAATGAAAGGGGGTATGGCGACATCACACTCAGGCCTCCAAATACCAAGACTAGGTGTGGGGGGTTGTTTTTCCTCAATCGCTTAGGGACCAAGAGCATAGATGCACCACTCCTCACACTATGGCTATTAATCCAGGGTATTAAAAAGACAGGTGTAAGGACTTTCCTAAGTGGTCTGGGAGCCATTCTACCCCCCTCTCTCTTGTATGTGTGTATGTGGTTTGGTTTGGTTTGGTTTTTGAGAGGAACTCATCCATGTAGCCCAGGCTGGCCTTGAATTTGTATCAATCATCCTGCCTCAGCTTCTCAAGTGTTGGGATTATAGATATACACTGCCACTTTTGGTGTGGCAAATCTACTTCGAACCCAGGTTCATTCATTTTGGGGAACAAGTCCTGCAATTTTATGAAAGAAATATGGGTTTTCTGGGTATCCTAAAGGCCAGGCCCTGGACAGAATCCCTGAGGAAAACACAGATTTGTGGGCTCTGCTCTCAATTTGCTCACTGGAAGAATCTGTTTTTTGTTTGGAGACTGGAGATCAAACCTACGGCTTCACATGTTAGGCAAGTGCTCTACCACAGAGCTACATCCCCAGCCTGAGGGATCTTTTTTTAACCAATGCCCCAGTTGATCAGAATCCACAATGAACCACCACTTTAGTCTTGGGCACACAGAGCCTACCTGGGACCAGGAAGAGAAACAAAGGAGGTAACAGCTCCCCAAAGGCCAGTTGGTGTGGGTGGACCTGGGAGTCAGAAGTGGGAAAGGCCTTGGTTTCTTGGCCCAACCCCAACTTTTCTGATAAGGGACTCAGTCCAGCCCATTCTCTGATTGGGCCTCTTCTCTGATAAGGAAATCAGGAGTCACTGCAGGCAATCCCCCCTGCGATTGAGTCTCTGGTTCTTCTCCCCTGGGCCACACCTCCTGAGCCCAGGTTCCTTGCCTGGTGTGTTGTTTGAGCCAACCCTCCCTTCCTTGTCAAGCCTCTCCCTCAGCCCTTTCATATCAGAGATCAAATTCACACTCCTATGTACCAGATTAATACTTTTTCAGCCTCTTCCTGTCTTTAAGGGCTTTAGGCTCAGGAGGGCCTGTGATATGACTTGGGAGCCAGGTAAGCTCGCTTCTCTAAGATTCTGGCTCCCAGGGAGGTCTGACTCATCCCTTACTTTGGGGTGTTTTCCAATATATTCCCCTGGGTAGCTCCAGCCAACAGGGCTCTTGGCCCCAATGGCACAGTCTACATACCTGTTACTGGGCTGGCAGACAGTTCTGGAAAAGGGGTCAAGGAACACGTAAGTGGACCTCAGAATCTGATGAAACCTGGCTTTACCAGTACCGCCGCCCCCCGCCGCCCCCTTTCCTTTCATGGCACTAATGAGGTTCAATCAAGCATTTTAACAAACATGTTTATTAGAAAAGTAAAAAATATTGCATAGGTCTTAATACTTGAACATCAAGTGTATTCATGAACAGTGAGTATCTTCACGTAAACAGTTCTAGAAGGAAGACCCAGATGGCACTCCTCTGGAGGAGGGGTTCCAGCCCCCAGCCCCTTTCAGCCCCATCCCCTCACAATTCAATCCTCCATAACACATTGAGGGATGGGCCCAACACAGCTTCCAGGTGTATTTTTTCAAGTGTCAAAGATCCCAAGTGATCCTAACACCCACCCCTTCCTACTCTTACATTCATGCGTCTGTAAGATAGCTGCCTAGAACAGGTCAGTAGCAAAGCTCCGATCCCCCAAATAAAAGATACAAAACAAACATATTTGGTCCCTTCAGACCATGAGATATACAAACCATCCGGGAGACCTCCCCCCTCCCTCCTTCCATGAGAACACACCCCTGGCAGAGGCCAGGGCAGCCCAGCTGCCCTCCTGGCTCTGTCACACCACTGTTGTAACTGTCAGTAATAACAAAAATAACAAAGTACATGCTACATACACATCCAGCCGGAAGCCTGTGTGGCCTCTAAGCCTTTGTTACATGCTACAGTACTGAGGGGCGTGTGCCCCAATAGGGAGCCACCTGCACACAACCTTCCTTGGCCACACTGCCTTCTTCCACCTGGCCCTGGGCCCCACAGGTGACTGCTGTCAGTTTTCTAACACAGGCATCAGTCCTTCAGTCCTTGCCTGCTGGTCTCCACCCCAAAAGTTCCTTGTCTCTACCATGGGGGCAGTTCCGAGGGACACCCCCAGGATGGAGTTCAACACTCTTCAATAAGCAGCTGCTCTGAGCTGTACAGCTTTTTTTTGATGACTCTAAAGCCGGTACTCAGCGTCAGGGACTGGCTGAAGCCAGGGACCAAGGAGGAGTTGGCAGAACTCAACAGCCCCTGGATCTTGGGCCAGAGACGAGAGTCCAGACGCAACACCAGGGTCAGCTGAAAGGTGGGCACCAGACTGGGGTCGAGTGCCAGCTGGGCCATACTGTGGCAGCTCTTGCCTTGCTCCACACAGACGTCCAGCAGCGCCCCCCGCAGGCCACACGGCTCGCTGTACGCCAGGCGCAGGAGCTCCTTGCCCACCTGGCTCACCAGCTGGCCTGGCATCACCAGACGCACGGGGCGCCGCGAGCCCAATCGCGCCTGGGACAGGCTCTCCTGCAGCAGCTGCATCAGGTTGGCACACAGGTGTTCATCCTCGGGGTCGCTGAGCAGCTCAAAGTCGGGCAGGGACACCCCGTCCAGGTATGCGGAGTCTGGAAGAGAGAGCACCAGGGGAGGGGTATTACAACAGCTTCCACAGGGGCTGCACGGGAGGGGGAGGTGCAGTTTTGCTAAGAAAGCAGCGCTGCATCCCGCTCGGTACCTCAGTTTCCGCCCCACACACGTCCCTCTACTCTAATCCCGGAGTCATCTGGTTCCTGTGTTGGGATGGGAAACCAAGGTGGCTTTGATTCGGTTCAGCACCGTGCGTCCCTCGCCTCCCCCGACCCCTCCAGTCCTGGTCTCCATCCGCCCACTGCTCACCTTCCTCCGGCCCGAAGCCACTGTTGCTGCTGTCCAGGGACTCGCAGTCCGAGCTCTCCAGGCTCGCGCAGCGGTCAAGGCCCTCCTCTCGCGCCGCCGACCCCCAGGCTGAGCGCGGCGGCCGATCCGCTGTGGGAGTTCGGGATGAGGACGAGGAGGACGACGCCGACAAACGATCCCAGAGGCTAGGCATGCTGAGGTCGGACGCCAGGACGTTGGCTGATGAGCTCAGAGTTGAGGATGCCCAGAAGCCGCTGAAAGACAAAACAGGGACACGGATCAGGAGACAGTCGGGGGGTGCACTGGGGCCGGTCCTGCCGAGGCCACCCCACACCGCCCATCAGCATCCCGGGGACCGACACTCACCAGCTAGCGCGGTCAGCAAGGACTGTGGCACAAGTGCGTCCTGCCGCTTGAATGGGTGAGCAAACTGGTGCCAACCACCGATCGCTGCCCGGACCTGTCCCTCAGAAGCTTCTCGCGCCTCCCCCTTGGCCTTCTGCGATCCCTAGCACCAGCGCTCAGCAACCTATAAGGACTAGAGCGTCCAGGCCACGCCCTCTCCGCGCGGCCACCCAATCCAGACCCGGGAGTGTGGCCCACCTCGGCCAATGGGTTCCGGGCGCACGTTCGCAACGTTCTCTCCTGCCTGGTGACAGCGGCCTGGCCCCGCCCCCACGGAGCCCCAGAAGCTCGGGGCCGAAGCTCCCAGCCGCGGCCACGCCCCCTTTCTGGAAGGGATCCACGCCGGCCTGCAGCTGCCAAGGTCCCTGAGGGCGCTCGCGGCAGGGGAGGATCAAGGAAAGACTTGTTTATTATAGGGTCGCGTTGTTGGGGGAGGGGACAGCCCGTGACCGCACTGGGGTGTAGAGTCAGGGGGACCTGGAGGGACGATGGATAGGGGAGACAGGTACTCCCAGAGTCTGGGAGCTGGATGGCCAAGGGCATCACGGAGTGCACGAGTGGATGATGCCCGTGGGACCGTGCACGGTGGCAGACGTTACCCCGCAGGCCCTGGATCATCATCCTACGCACTCCCTGTTGGAGACGCAGGATGCGGATCTGGGGATGGGGTCTCCATGTCCCATCTGTCTGCCCGCCTGTTACTCTGCAGTCAGATGGGTTCCTGATGACATCAGTGCTTCCCCCCCGGTGAGCAACCCCACATGTGTGCCCAAGGAGGGCGTTTGGGTAGGTGGCTGGGGTTCACCGGCTCGGGTTCCTAGCGCCTGATCCACGGTCCAGGAACAAGGACCCACATCAAACCGACTCACAGACCCAACCGGCTGGCCAAAGGGACCGACCACAGCGTGACTGTGCCTCCCTCGCCCGCTGCCGCGAAAGCCCCCGGCGTCCGCCAGGTCTTAGAGCCCCTCTCTCTCTTTGTTTTAAAAAAAAAAGAGAGAGTTTAACCAGACCCCGGACGAAGATCTTTGGAAAAGCCCAAAGAGTGCAACGGCCATCCCGGGTTTCATCATTCAGGCGGGGCCACAGGAAATCTGGCCTGGCAGCGATGCTCGAGGGCTGATAGCGATTGCTCAGGGTGAGAGGAGGTTCGGATGGACTCGACCTGTGTTTCTTTTAAAGGTTTATCAATGTAGGACACGCGGACCCTGATGGAAGAAAAAAACAAACTTACATCAGACACTCTGGCCGGGCGGGCAGGAACCAAACCAGATCGGACAGGCGAGCCTCCCTGCAGGGCAAGCTTGCACGTGACTTATGACCCTTGCCAGGGAAGTCAGGCCACTGCACTTTCCAGCCTCCTCCCCTATTTTTTTAAAAAAATAAAAAGTCTGACCTACAGACTAGACAAACCCAAGTCTTAGAACTGCAAAATGGCCAGAATCCAAGCCCTCCCCCTCCCTACCCACACACTCCCATTTTACAGGTGGGAGAACCACTTCCTAGAATGTATTTATGAATCAAAAAAAGGATGGGCCTCAGATTAGGAGACAAAGTTAAAGACAGCTGCAGATTAGAACATGGTGTTTGCCCCTGGGGCTCCCAGACCTAAATACTAATCTGCCTTCCTTCCTGTCTCCTACACTCTGCTACCAGCTGGGAGACCCCAAGACCCTGAATCAAGGTGTCTAGGTGAAGGCTTGGGAAATGGAGTCAGTGACATCCTTTTAAGATCACTTTTCACAGAGGTGGAGAGAGATGCCAGCCTGCGTGTGGGGGTAAATCTTCCTGCTGCCAGGGAACGACAGGAAAGAAATCAATGCACCGTCAGGGTGCATACTCCTCCTACAAGGCCAAGCCAGTGGGAGAGACTGTGGGTGCTTTTACTAATTTTTTTTCCTGTCCTGGAGATGAACCTGGAGCTAGGCACCACTCTGCCACTAAGCCACATCCACATCCCCACCCCGTTTTCCCTCTTCCTTCCCCTCCACCTCCTCCTCTTTTTCTTTTTTGATAGAAAAAAAGTACTTCTGAAAAATGTGACATCTTGACCCTAGAAAAATGGGACTTTTTTGTGTGTGTGTGAGTATTCATACACAAAAGAATCACTGGGCAGCTTAGAAAGGTTAGTTTATTAGGAGTCATTCATTTATCCAAAAAACACCACCATGGTCTATGTGCCAAGCCCCTTTTTCATTTGGTAATTTAATTTAAAAAATATTATTTTTATTTTTCATGTATGAGTGAGTATATTGCCCGCTTGTATGTAAGTGCACCCCTGTGGTGCAGTGCCCCCAGAGAACAGAGGAGGGTGTCAGGTCCCCTGGAACTGGAGTTACAGATGATTATTAGATTGCGCGCTGTGGGTGCTCAGAATCCAGCAAGAGCAGCCAGTGCTCTTAATCGTTGAGCCATCTCTCCAGCCCCCTTTAATTTTATTTTTTGAGACAGGGTCTCATGTGTGTATCTCAGGCTAGCTGGCCTTGAACTCCATATGATCTTCTGCCTCTACCTCCCAAATGCTGGGATTGAATTTCCTCCAAAGCTGAGATTACAGACATGCAGCACCAAAACCAGTTCATGCTTTTCTGGGGATCAAGCCCAGGGTTTTGTCCATACTAGGCAAGCATTCTACCAACTGAGCTTAGCCTTGTTAAGGGAATCTTCTTGTTAATAAAACAGTTTCCCTCAAGTGGGAAAGGACCTGTGTTCACGGGCATTGGATAATTTTGTGGTTGTTTTGTTTGTTTGTTTGTTGTTGTTTTTGTCTTTTTGAGACAGGGTCTCCCTGTAGCCCCACCTGGTCTGGCACTCGCTTATGTAGACCAGGCTGGTCTCGAACTCACAGAGATCTGCCTGCCTCTGCCTCCCAAGTGCTGGGATCAAAGGCGTGCGCCACCATACTCTGCTGTTTTTTTTGTTTGTTTGTTTGTTTTTTAAAGAAATCTATTCCCTGGGTGGAATAGCTCAATTAGTAGAGTGTCTGCCCAGGATGCATGACACCCTGGGTTCAATTGCCAGCATCACATAAACCAGGTGGTGGTAGCACACACCTGTATTCTCAACACTGGGAGGGGGAGGCAGGAAGTTCAGAAGTTCAAGTTCATACTAGGTTAGATAGAGTTCAAGACCTTATCTCATTTAAAAAAATCCATTTTAGCTAGGCGTGGTAGTCCACGCCTTTAGTCCCAGCACTCAGGAGGTAGAGGCAGGCGGATCTCTGTGAGTTCAAGGCCAGCCTGGTCTACGTAGTGAGTTCCAGGACAGGTGGGGCTACAGGGAAACTCTGCCTAAAAAAGAAAAAAAAAAAAAAAAAAATCCATTTGAATTATATTTTTGCATTTATTTATTCATTTGGAGTATGTGTATGTGACATGGTTTGTATAGAGGCCAGAGGACAAGTTGTGGAAGCTGGTTCTCTTTTCCCACCAGGTGGGTTCTAGAGATTGAGCTCAGATCATCAGCCTTGATACCAAATGCCCTACCCACTGAGCCATCTCACCAGTGCCAAGAAATCCATTCTTGGTTTTTATGAAGTTTTTTTGTTTTGGGGTTTTTTTTTTTTTTTTGGTTTTTATTTGTATAAGGGGTTGAACCCAGGGCCTCACACGTGCTAGGAAAGTCCTAGCATTGAACCATATCTCCAGTCTTTTTTTGTGTGCATGTAAATGATGAAAAAAGGACCAAGGACCTAACCCTGGTGGTGTTTCTTAGAGTAGGAGGGGGTGGTTCCAGGATAAACAGGCTCCTACAAGGAGTCCTGGCAGGGGCCTGGGGCAGAGAGCTTGGTAGTTTCCCTGAGTGACATTCACCTGAGATAGGGGGTGGGGGGCAAGACCTTCCGTCACTGCCGAGAGAACCTTTGAACCTAGAAGGGCAGTTTCTTATCTATCAGTGCGTCTTGGGAACTGGAATGACCTCTCCCATATTGGAGCCCTCATGTGAGGGGACAGTTCTATCTCCTGGCCTCTAAATCAGGCCCCTTCGGAGCCGTCCAGATATCTGCAACTTTGCATTTAGTGTTCTCCCCTCTCCCTCCCAGTTCCCTTGGCTAAGGCTGCCTGCAAGTCAGGCTTGCCTGGACATGTTTAACCAGCACCCCTAACCCAACCCTTCAGTTCCTTCCTTCCCTCTGGTCTCCCCACTTGAATGTTTGAGGGCAGTGTTCTGCCCATCTTAATGTCCTATTGCCCTGTGCCAGTCCCACAGGACAGTCCCAGGAACTATCCCTAACCTGAATAAATAAATGGATGGATCAGCAGATGAAGCAAGAAGGCATCCTTTCCCAGAATGCCACAGACCTGCATCTGGAATCCCAGATCTGGCTGGGCTTCTGGGATGGCTCTTCTAGGCTTATGGGAGGCCTGTCTTCTGTGCTGCTTTTCTATCCTATCCCCTTTGCAGCCAGAGCCTGGCACATAGCTGAGCATTCCCCTTCCTCAGGTAAGGGCTAGCAGAGCTACTTCAAGGGCAGCCTAGTCCTTACTGCATCCCTGGAACGCTGGGGCAGCAACCTAAGTGCAGAGAGCTGACCTGCAGGGAATCTTGAAAAGCAGTTTTTCCCATAAGTACATCAAAATATGTATGTGATTCTAAAATTAACCATTTCAAGGCAAACAATTAGTGCGTGCAAAAGGTTGTGCAACCACCTCCTCCACTAACATTTCTATGGTCCCAAAGGAGACAAGGTACCATCCATCACTCCCTTTAAACACCTTTGAAGCTTATGATCCTTGTGGGTGAGAGCAAGCAACCAGCCTCTTTGTTTAGCTGTAGAGGTGTCATTCCCACCAGAACTTGCCATTTGCATGTGTCATGGGGCAATCCTGCTCCAGGAGACAATCCTCACATAGACATGGTATGCACCATGCACCCTTCATGGAGGAGACCCTGGTGGAGAGATGGCTGGGTTCCAATTGAGAATGGGTTCGTGTCACATCCTGAGTGACTCAGACCTCTGGAGTTGGTGATGAAGCCCCATATCCCAGTCTCTATGGCTAGGGCCCTGACCATGCAGAAACGATGCCTCACCCT